GATGAGTCATCTCCTCCCATGTGATTTACAGCTTTGGTAACACACTGGGAATGTTCACCTATGAGTTGGCGTGAACTTGATAACAATGCATGACTTCTAAAAAGGTAGTATCTTAACTTCAGTCCACTTTATCTTTTCTGTACACACATAGTCTCTGGGTTATTATATAAACTTCTATGACTTTAAAGTTCACTAAAATTTTACTTGAGTTCCTACAGAAAGCAAAACCTGACAAATAAGGTTTAAATGAAATTGTTTCTTGAGGAATATAATCTATGGGTGGCAAAGTAGAAAAGAGTGTGGATACTCTTCTAAACTTAGCAAATTTATGTTCCATTAAATTTTTTCATCTTGTTTTTCCACTTTATGAAGGCAATTTTATTCTTTTATATATGTAAATACTAAACAGATAACTAGACAGAAATGTCAGAAAGAAGCTCCAGGACAGGGAAAAAGGAAGAAGTCAGAAATTGTCAATCTGATATTATATTCCAATATTAAGAGAACAATACAGCTTCTTAATTACTAGCCATGGTTGTAAAAGCGTTGTGACAGAGACTGTTGCATCATTTTCTCAGATACGTAGACAAATACAAAAATATATTGGTTGAAGTCTTTCTTTGGGAACTATTGGTCTATTTGGAGACAAATATATCTCTTTTAGTTGTTGTTGTTGAATTCTGACTCAAAGTTACACACACAGTATTTTATTTTAAAAGAGTAGACAGAAGATAAGTATTCATTGGATTTTAATGAAACTGTGATACACACAAGCTATGTCAGAAGCAGTCCTAAGATCCCCAGTAGCATCAAGAATACTAAGGTGAGGTCTTTAATCAGTTGCATCACCTCCTCCAAAGCAGTATTCTCATCTAATCTGATCAAGCCCATAAGAAAGACACTTAGAAGTGTTGGCAAATGAAAGTAGTTTATTACTTATGGTGGAGGGGAAAAACACCCCCAAAATCATCAAGCATAGTTTTGTAGTATATGATTCCCTTTGGCTGGAAAAAAAAGCTGTCTATGCAAAGACAATGGGCTTGAGTGTGCCAGGAATTGTGAGGATGGCACGGCATAGGATAGTGTTCTGCCTGAATATTCATAGGGTCATAATAAGTCATATTCGACTCAATGGCACTTAACAACAACATGTAAAGAAAAGGACAATTTTTTATTTGTATTTTTTTAATTTAAATAGCATTCAGTTTATTAAAAATATTTAGTATTGGCTTCCCATATTTCCCCCCTTTTGTTTTTATCATAATTATGTTATCATCTAGATGAGCATCCTTTATACACAAACAAACGAATAAAACAAATTGAACATAATAAACTCAAAGAAATACTTTCAAAAATCTCCATATAATCAGAAGGATTCAGGTTGAATATTCCTTGAAAGTTTGTTTTAATTGTCCCATTGCCACAGTGCTTGTCAAAGCTAGTTCTGATTAATCTCCTTTGTCACTGTGCCCTTTGCCATTCCCTATCACTCCTCCCTGAGAGAGACTTCATCTTGATTCATAAGG